GTTGCTTTAGTTTTGGCCACCAGTGTATATATTTGTGAGGTGTTAACAACGGAATCACAAACTTAATAAACCCTTTACAACCGTACAAAAGCATTTTGGTGAGAATTTTTCCGGAAAAAAAATATTCGTGATGGAATTCAAGCGTGATAGTGTGATTTCCTTATATTTGGCTGGAAAACCACATGTGGCTATCGTTAGAGAACTCCAGCACTAAAATGTAAATAAATCTTTTGTGTCTCGTACCATCGCTCGTTACCGTGATAAGAAGGAAGTGGACGGAAGAAAACAGCTACATAAGCAGAAATGGTTCGAAAAGTAAAGAAGCGACTTGATCGAAATCCGCGTCGCAGTGGCCGAGCTGAACATATCGCAATATTCCAATCGGCAAATATTGAAAAACGAGCTCGGGGTAAAGCCATTGAACTACCAAAAAGTGCAAGAACTTACACCGCAACAGAAAGAAAATAGACTCAGAAGAGCTATAGAGTTGCTTCGCTTGGCCGAAAGTGGTGAACTGCCGAATTTGGTTTTCTCCGATGAGAAAACATTCGTTGTCCAGCAGTTTGTAAACAAAATGATCGTGTTTACTTGCCAAAGAGGTCAGCTGAAAATGTGTACCTTCGGTTGGCCATCAGAACTCAAGCGCCGGTCATGGTGATGTTGTGGGCCGCTATAACAGCCGATGCATCAGAATAAATGCCGAATATTATCGCGAAAAAGCTTTGTACACGCAAACATTTTGGCCGCAGACCTTGGACATTCCAACAGGACACAGCACAATCGGCACGCGCCATCCAAGAATGGTTACAAAATGAGGTTGCTCGATTCATTTCCAGCGCACAATGGCCACCAAAATCTCCGGATACCAATCCGTTGGACTATTGTGTCTGGAGTATTTTGGAAAGCAAGGTTGGCACTAAAAAATACCAAAGTGTCGATCACCTCAAGCAAACGCTTTACAAAGAATGGGCCTAAAATACCGCAGAGCAACATTTGGGCAGCGTGTGATTGGCCGTTTGAAGGCAATAATTCGTGTCAAAGCTGACCAATTCGAACAAATGTTAACTAATTCTAAAAGTTGATGCTATTTCCGAAATTTTTTGCTTCCATTCAATAAAATTTAAAAATTATGGCATTTGACTTTGTTGCAGTTTTTTTATCCTATCCTAGATACAGTTTACAGTAATATGTTGAAGTATCCATTACGAACTTCAAATACGAAATTTGAAACAATTCCAGTCTATAATGTTTGTAATACCAAACAAAGTACGGAATATTGGAAGGTACCGTTATATAGGAGCTATACGATGACGTGGACAGGCGGACATCGTTAGATTATCTTAGAAATTTACGCTGATCCAGAATATATATACTTTGTGGGGTCTATTATGAATATTTCGAGGAGTTACAAACGGAATGATAGAGCTAATATATCCTCCATAGAATGGTGGAGGGTATACAAATGGCATTAGGTTCGGCCGAATTTTTTACGCCCTGAATAAATTCTGATTAAAAGTTCAGTCTCATGAAAATCTATATTTAGGACATTTAAGATCTTAATATAATAATTTATATAAAATTTTAATAATTATATAATACCTCGACCTACATTGAAAAAAATCATTAAAATATTGACATCTGGAGTCGATCGATCTGGTTCATTTTCATACCTAATTCAAAATTTGGCATAAATATACAATTTGCCTAGTTTTTCCAAACCGGATGCTCCTTTTGCTTTCCAAGAAAGGTCTATCTAAATCGGACAATGCAACCCATAATTTACCTATAAAAATATATGCAGATAGACGGACTGAGGGACTGTCATTTATCAATCGAAAGTGATCAGGAGATCACCAAATGTAACTATTGGTATTCGTCGTTTGCTTTTACTGGTTATAAACAAATGTAGAAAGGCATAATACAATACACCATAGTGTAGCATAAAAATTATAATTGTTTCGTCGATGTTGCATTTTCTATGGCACTAGACCAAAAACTAGAACAATTACAAATTTCCGAAAAAGTTTGTATCCACAAATTTTAACTAACATACGAAACACTTTTTTTCCTCTGTTTCGAATTTGTTTATGATTTGGCCGGACAATGTGAACATAATTGCAATATGAAAGTTTTGGTGTAGCACTTACATTCTATGTTACATTAAAACTTTTGTCCATAGAGACGAGGATGATTTTTTTTTTTTTTTTTTTTTTGTAGAGATTGCAATTTAATTAATCTTCAAATGTATTTAAGAAATGAAAGCCAAGTGGAACAAACTTTGGCGACTAGAATCAATTTATGAGTCACAATTTTCGTCTAATTAATTAATAAATTAGATTAAGTCATTTATAGTTCATATCTTAGCCCAATAACGAACCGTTTTTAAATTGGGTGATAGCCGGTTCAGATTTGAATATACTTGTCGTACACATTTAGTACGATTTCAAGGTGAATTTTAGTGCACAGAATTGAAGAATTCTAGATGGTAAAATATGGAGATGAAGATATGACAAATATGGCCTAAAAAGCTACCAAATTTTGATCATGCGGTCAAGATCCGACTAGAATAAATGATATTTGGTACAAGAGATCACATACAGCCTAGAAAAGTCCCTTCAAATACATATATGTTCTATACGACTTCTAAGTTCTTCTATTCTAAATTCTGTACAACCTAAACGCACTATTACTGGTTTTATTTTCATTAATAATAGTTATCTGCTATATTTAACATGACTTTTAAAAAGAAGTTCGAAATAATTTTCGTGATTTTCAAAAAAAAAATACAAATCATTCTCCTATCCAACACTGCGTATGCAGCAAACATCCAACTTCGACTGAAGAAATAATAATAGAATTCTACTCATATTTGAGAAAAATGCAGTCTGCATTAAGTAGTAGAAAATAGTGGGAATATAAACAGAGAATAGCATATGCGCAGTTGAAACACAAATATAAGCAACAAGTTGTATTTGAAAAATTGAATAATATTTAACGTAGGATGTATTGTAAGATTGCAGATAATAATGTTTGGTATCTTGAAACGGTATCGTCATAATAAATATCTGGTGTTATTGAGCCAACCACCAAAGTTTTTAAAATAAAGTCACAAATTTGAGCGCACTAAAAGACCGAGTAGATTACTTTGATCGACCATTCCGGTACCATATAAAATACAAAGCTGTTTATATCATCAACCATACGGAGGACGTATATTATTTGATTATACCCTCAGCCATATGGGTAAAGAGTGTATACAGGGTGAGTTAAAAAAACTGCAACAAAGTCAAACGTCATAATTTTTACATTTTTTTTAATTTTTTTTTGAAAGAAAGCAAAACATGTCGGAAATAGCATCAAATTTTAGAATAAGATTGGATTTGTTCGGATTTATGGCACGAATTATGTGAAGGTCATAATATGGCCAATGAAACCGTCACACGCTTCCCGAATGTTGCATTCCCGGCGAAGCGCTTAACTGAAGTGATCGAAACTTTGGTATTTTTTAGTACCAACCTTGTTTTCCAAAATATTCCAGACACAATAGTCCAACGGATTGGTATCCGGAGATTTTGGTGGCCATCATGGGCTGAAAATGAAGCGAGGAACCTCATTTTGTAACCATTCTTGGTTGGCGCGTGCTGAGTGCGATGGTGCTGAGTCCTGTTGAAATGTCCAAGGTCTGCGTCCAAAATGTTTGCGTGCCCAATGCTTTAATACACCCTCCAGAATATTTTCGCGATGATATTCGGCATTTATTCTGATGCCACGGCCGATTAATACGAGCGACCATCGGCTGTTATGGCGGTCCACATAATCACAATGGCCGGCGCTTGAGTTCTGGTAGCCAACCGAATGTGCACATTTTAAGCTGACCTCTTTGGCGAGTAAACACGATCATTTTGTTTGTTTACAAACTGCTGGACAACGAATGTTTTCTCATCGAAGAAAACCAAAATCAGCAGTTCACCATGTTCGACCAAGCGAGACAACTCTTTAGCTCATTTAAGTCTATTTTCTTTCTGTTGCGGTGTAAGTTCTTGCATTTTTTTGAATTTCAATGTCATTACCTCGAGTTCATTTTTCAATATTTGCGATATGTTCAGCCCACGAGCCTTTTCGGGCTCTGCGACGCGGGTTTCGATCAAGTCGCTTCTTTACTTTTCGAATCATTTCTTCCGTCCACTTCCATGACGTCGGGCTATCACGGTAACGAGGGATGATACGAGATACAAAAGATTTATTTACATTTAGCCACTTGTGGTTTTCCAGCCAAATATAGATAAATCACACTATCACGCTTGAATTCCATCACGAGTAACTTTTTTTCTGGAAAATTTCCACCAAAATGCTTTTGTACGCTTTGAAACAATATAATGAGCTGTCACTGGAATAATTTTAACAGCTGTCGGACGAGTGACTTAGCAATGACAGCAGTCTGTAGTTGGTTGCAGTTTTTTCATCTCACCCTGTATGTCGATGTTAAGACAAAGACAATTTCGCTACATTCAGACATTTATCCAAACGTTTCGATCACACATCTGTAATTTTTGGCTTTGTGGTCATAGTCAGTGGTCGGAAGTTGATTGATTTACCAATCACTAGCAATATTAGTTATCATATCTCCTGTCCCAAGAAGACCAATTGATAGCTTTATACTTTACATAACATTCTAAAAAAATCTCTGACTTTGTCAAACGCTCCTGAGGACTCTTCAGCTACATAGATTGTCATTTTACAAATCATAGTTCTTATTTGTAAATTTTACCATCCTTAAGCATTTCCTATAAATCCGAAATGTTTAGAATATAATAGAAGCTCTCGAGTTAAGTGGTTGCCATTACTGTATCTCTCCAACATATTCAATTCTTCCATATTTTTTTTATTTATGTAAATATATCACTAGTTATTATTGTACGACGTTGACAAACTCCTAGTACCACCGCTTGTCTGTTATACCATGACAATATCTAAAAACAGCAAAGGAAAACAGGAAAAGGTTTCAAATTACAAAATATATATGTACGTATATTTTTCTCATTATGTTTTCTTCTTTTAGTTTTCATTGGAATGTTGATATCTTACTCGTTAACATATTATTTGTACAATTGTTTGGTTCAGATAAATCACATAAATAATAACATAAAATCTACAAATAAACAAAGATGATATCATTGGGGAGTATTATTTTTATCTTCATTTAAAATACAATTTCAGTCGTCCAATTAGAATAGGAAGTTGTGAGAATAAACAATAAATAGGAAACAAAAAAATATAATAATAATAATAATTTAATATGTATATAATTGTCTTGTAGTAAATGGTTTACAAGTGGTCTTTGGATTTAGCAGTACCGTACATCAGTACTTTGGCGTAGACATTTTTACAGCCCGATTTTTTAGGATCAATTGTGGCAACAATTTCGTCAAAATGTTGTGGACCTAGTTTTAAGCCACTCATTTCAGCTTCTCTGCTTATGCAATCTTTAAGTTCATTTTCTCCAAATGCATTAAACTTAATAACATGGGTTTCCGTTACTGTATCCAAAAGTTTGTTTTGTTCAGTATATTTTTCGGGTGTCAGCATTGTATTTAGACTAAATAAATAAAATATAACAATACGTTTTTGCTGTTTTTCAATCGCTTCTCTGACAAGTTGATTAATAATCGATACAGCTTCGTAATCTCCAGGCCATAAATTCTCTATAACCAATAGATTTTGTCCACAATCCGAGAGGTTGTCAATCAACAAACTTAATCGACGGATTTTTTCAGTTTTGTCTTCCACATAGGCGTTCCAAGCATAACTGTGAACATTTTCCTGCCAGGGAAAATTCTCCATCATGGCGCGCATAAACAAACTTTTGCCCACTCCCACTGGACCTACCAATGCAATGGCATTTAAATCGCTTTCATTTCGTAGAGCAACATCGATTTGTTGTAGAGATTTTTCCTGATTTAAAATGCCATATTGTTTGATACGTTCGAATAAAGCTGCAGTGTCCAGAGCCTGTTTTTGATCACAATAATTTTGTTTCCCATGAATAATTTGAGTATATTGATTCCGATAGTTTTTAAGAAATTCCTTTAGTATTTGTTTTGTATTGGAATTGTTCTGCGTATAATAGTGACCCATCAAGAGAGCAATTGTGAATGAAAACAGGCCAATGAATACAAGAATGCGTTTACATTTACTAACATTTTTATTAGTCGTCGGTGTTGTATCATCGGCCAGACGGCGCAGCCGCTTCCGTCTGTGAGTTTTCTTTGGCTGTAAATATAAGATAAAAGGTTTAAACGAATGTGCAATAATTTCATAAGGGAGTTATCAGATGATATATATTGATTTCTATAAAATGGACAGTCTGGACCAAAACAGAACTTATTGTCATATCCACTTTAACATTGAATGATTTTGTTTTTACAACTTTTCTTTTCTTATACAATATAAACTTGATACCATAGATATTACATCTAAAGAAACACAGTTAAAAGCCAAATTATTTCCCCTTAGAATCTTCTTTAGAATCAGAATGATCGGCTGAAGAAGTGTAATCTATAGAGCTATGATGAGTGCACTTCAGAGAAGCTATGCACAAGGCGAAATCTTGTATTAATTGGTATGCTTACAAGGATAACTTCAAAAAGTATGAAACTGAAGTCAAGAAGGACCATACATGGTAGAGGTTAGATTTAGGATATTCACATAAGGTAGGTGGCGACATTATTGAGATCAAAACATTAAATTATGCTCTATAAACTCGATCGTAATTTATGGTTGAAGAACGTCACTTCTTCAGTAACAAGTAGTAATTGGGACCCTGTCTACAAAAGTATATGATTTAATCTGTTAAAGCCGATACTTCACGAAATCCTTTTGTCTCCCTTTTTAAGCACAATCCAAGTAATTAAGGTCTGCATTGCAAAAATAATATTGTTTCAGGACCGAGACAAAGACAACAACAACATCTCCTTCGACCAATTAATTCTTTATGGATGGATCATCCTTATATCGTGAATATAACACTTCCATCTATGAAGTCATATCTTGATATGAATGGATTTCACTAAATTTGACGGAGGTTCTTGTTGTTGTAGCTCCTCATACTGCTGTGTTCGTCCTTATTCCTCTCAATCGGTTTCTGCTACTAAATCCAGTCTCAAAAAGTCTGCAACCTGCACGGGTTGGGTCCACAACATTACTGGAGTTAGGTGAATAGGTTTAGCTGAGCAGCGAAATAGGTGCAACATGTCGTGTGGACGTGTGCCACAAGCTAAGCAGGAATTGAGGTGGCAGCACCATCCGATTCTTAACTGAGCCAAAACTACTAGGGTTTGTCTGGCCAGCTCACGCTCTTCACCTGCGATGGGAGGGTGATGGTTTCCTAGTATTCACTCTATATCTTCCATGACTTCTGAGACCGCGTTAGAGGGAATACTATTCAGTCCCGCTTGATAGGCCTGTTGATGCTCTCTCTTATACCTCTGTACCTCTCTCTCTAGATCATGAAGGTTTCTCCTTCCATACCTGGGCGAAGGTTCCCTATCCACCAGATGGTGATTCGGGTGGCTCTGTCTGTAACACCCAAGCAGGTATTGCATTGAAAGCATTTTATTATGCTTACGGAGGCATTTTTAATTGCTGTAAGAGAACTCAAAAACGTAGCAAGGTTGGTACATAAGGTACATGAAGTTAGAGGGAAATGTATATGGGAGATATATCTAAATATAAGCCGATCCTGGCAATGTTTGGGAAAGGAATCTCTAGGTTGTGGGGGCACCAGACATAACCATCAATGTGTCATCTTCTCAAAGATGTGTGTGGAAGCTACATCTAAATCATCAATTTCTTCTTTTCTAACGGTACAAGTGTAAAGTATAAACAGAAGTCTGTGGTTGGTGAATTGGTAAATGCTATCCTTCCTATCCTATTAGAGCTGATATTGCGTACGAAGATAAATATTTATGGGAAGAGATATTCTCAGCAGTTTCAGGATTCGTATTTAGGGCAAACAAATTAGCTGTCCAACATCTGTATTGCGACATGAACTTTGTTCACAAAAATGCATAATTTGACTTATAATAAAGTCATACTATGCAAAATCATCAGAAGAAATCACGGATCGATCTTGTACTACCTTGTACCACAGTCTGATGAAGGGCATTAAAAGAAGTCTGTTGGAGGAGATTTTATAAATTACGATATTTTTAAAAAAAGTCTCCAAGAGGTATTAATGACCCATTTTTAAGCTGATCCGCTGAGAGGCTCTAAACATGACTTTACTTTTGTTCCGAGTTAACGTTTCTGCTGGCAAATCTGAAATTCACACATTTTTGGTCATTGGCAGAGGTGTTTAAGGGTTAAAACATACAAATTAATATGGAGGTTATGTATGCCATGATTTCTAGGACCTTAAACAATAACAAAGAATTAATAAAATCTATTAAAGTAGAAAATGAAAGCAAGACGCGAAGTACTAAATCTTCCAACTCTTAGGTCTATGGGACCCTGTAACAATTTCGCCCAGTTAAAAAATCAGTTTGCATCTTTTTTACATTTGCAACCCCTGGGACTTAAGGGTAATTACGCTACTTAAAAAGAACTCCATCGTCTTTCGCTGCTTTCAAGCAAATATTCAAACCTACCTCATTGTCTCGGCAAGCCTTTGCTGCGTTTGTGGTGTTTAAATCAGTCTCTTCCGGGCTTTCAGTCTTAATTTCTTGATCTATTTCCATCGTTAATCGAAAAATAAGTAATTTATACAATTTTGGGTTAATTTATAACAAAAATTGCAACAATTTTTATTGAAAAACGGAGAAAACGAAAATTTGCACAATATTCCTGGACGATAAGCAATGGCGCGTATGTCAACGTTGCCAATTGTTTGGTATTTATTGTTTACAGTTACTGAACACAATGTGGCAATAAATCAGAGTATGATGCCATGTGGTTCAAAGTAATTTTGTACGGTATTTAAATTGGAAACGATAACACATTTGTTATTATATGTTTGTAAAACAAAAAGGTGGTCAAACAAACATTACTGAAGATAAAACTATTTTTGTTGGTATATTAAATTTCTGAAAATGATCCCAAAGTGTTCCATCATTATAAATTGGAATAATAATTTGACCACATTTGATGTGGCTCTCATATTGCCATTTCATATGCCGGCACAAACATAACGTTGCCACTTTCTACGAAAAACCTTTTCAGTGTTTCATTCCATTTCGTTTTCATTTTATATGAAACATTGATTCACGTTTCCACTTATTGGAACTCATTACAAATACATTTTGTAAACAAACCTGATCTTCCCGAAGTGTTGTTCCAAGACATTTGATTTTTAATCAAAATGGAAATGTATGTATGCTAAAAATACAAAGAAATCAAATCTATATTTACCGCAATTCATAACCCCCCTTTTCTTGCAGTGTCAATCCATGTTTCTCGGTGCTGTCAAACTTTGAGGTTTTGGAATCTCTCAAAAACATTAAGGACACCAAAAAGAAATATGGTCTTCGTAATTTGGCCACAATCACCTACGAAACTTTGCAATATTTGGAGGAATCACCCTGCAAACATCAAAACCGGGATGTCATTTGTGCTTTCATCAAAGATATGCAGCCCTACAAATTGACCACTAACGAGCTACTGATGATGGTTAATGACCCACCCTCAAGTGCTTTACACATTCAGCTGCTAATTGAAGATAGCGAGGAACGTTTAACCGAGGATCAAGTTAATGAAATTATAGAAATAACCAAAAAACATTTTCCCGGACCACCGGCTGAATCAAGCTGATAATAAACACAAAATATGTTCTATAAAAACTGGTTGTTTTACTTTTTTTATTCAAAAATGCCCTTTTGCGAAGTCTTGCTAATATCTATTGAAATATTAACGTTTCTGGTCACCCAAATCTTCAATGAAGTCAGGGTCAATCTCAGCCCACTTTTCTGGTATCACATCAAACAAATCATCCTTGACATCACCTTGGATGACGATTTCATCGTCACCGGTAACGGAAGAACCACAAGCGAATTTTGTGCCGAAATATTTTGCAGCCACCTTTAAGTCAATGTCGAATGTGCTGAGACCAGTGACCACGGTGACGGACTTCTTTTTGCCACGGGGCGCACGAGAGACTGTGATTCTCTTGTTGACCTCTTCCTTCTTTTTGATTTTCATCAAACCTTTGCCACCACGTTTTTGACGTCTTTTGTCGTCGTCAGCACCATCACCGCCTTCTTCTTCCTCCAACTTGACACGTTCAAATTCTGTGGGTAAATTCTTCTCCAGCCAAGCTTTGCATTTCTCGTATTCTGGATAATATTCACAATACTAAAAAAGGAAGAAACTCATAATGAATGCATATAGGAGACAGTATGGCCTTGGGTTGGTCTTACTTCAATTGGCATAGAACAGTTACCACAATAGTGGACAATGATTGGATAGTTGACTCCCTCACGGGGGCCAAGTTTGAGGCGTTCAGCTACGGGATTAACAGTTTCTGTCATTTTTTTCTACTATTAATTTAATTTTCTATTTCTATGTGCCTATATGCAATGCAAATTTCCCATGCAAAAAACCTAGTTCAAAAGCAACTATTTTGCATAAGGGACGAATGAAACCATTTCCACCTTTTTCGTTCATCTAGTTCCATTGGTTCACATGGTTCCTTAGTTTATTTCGCGAAAGAAACGATAGATCCAAGGTGTATTTAATAAGGTGTAATGGCCAATAATATGGTGTTGGATTTATTTCCATTTTTGTAAGCAAATATGTTTGTTTAAATTGCAAATTTTGTTTTGCAAAATATTGTTGATGCAAATTTTAAAAATTTCATTTTTATAAGAGATCCAGATTCTTTGTTTTTATTCTATATGTTTTCTGTGGCTACAAATTATGTCTGCAGATTTAAGCTGGGAATACATAAAGCGCTTATTTGGCTGGCTTAAGTCAACGAAGAAAAGAAGAAGTGAACAGATATTGCAGATGTACAAGCCCCGTTGTTTTCGTGCCAGCATGAAACCATTACAGTTTTCAAACTTAAAAAATCGGTAAATAATGTCGCTAAATCATCAAAATACGGAATATCGAACTTCAAATACAAAATTTGAATCAATTCCGGTTATTAATGACGCTAAAATCATCAAAATACCGAATATCGGGAGGTACCGTTACCGGACCAACTGGCCTATTTTCAATACCAAAAGTCCTGCAGACATAATATACATTTGAGTAGAAATTTACCAATCTACTTCGTTTCGTTCGGAAGCTAGAGTAATTTCCACAGACGGATAGACGGACATCGCCAAATCGACATAGAATTTTATGCTCATCAAGAATATATATACTTTGTGGGGCCTAAAATGTATATTTCGAGGTGTTACAAACTGAATGACAGACTTAATATACCCTCAGTACTATGGTGGAGAGTATAAAAATGCCCTGGAATCGTATTTGGGACTATGTAAATCATATCTGTTGCTCATCTCCGCGGTTTTCCGCCATATTTTTGCGATTTCAGAATTAATATATATCTGTAATATTTTAATGCATTTTTTGCATGTCGTCCACCATCGTCGTCGACCTGATCGAGACAATAGGAGCCAATATGTATTTTGTCCAATCTTTATAGTTTTATATCTTTGATTAATGTTTTGATTTATAAATTCGCTGCTGATTGGTTACACATTTGCTCTGTTCCAGAATCTGCAAGAATCTACAATTTTTTGCAATTTTTTGGATATCATAAAGGGAAAATCGGTTATCGTAGTAAAAACTTTTACATTCTTGCAGTTCTGGAACAGACCAATGATAAGCCGCCGCTGAAATATTGTATACTTGTTCCGCGGCTCATATAATGAATGTTTGCAGCTGATTGTTTTGTACTCATGTCTCATTCGTAAACATTTACGCATTACACTCATTCGTAAACAACACAGGTTCTTGGAGATTATCGTTTTGTTGGGAACGTTTTTCATTTTGGTGTCACGCAAATGGACATACGGGACATGTATCGACGTAATTTGTCCAGGAAGACATTTAAAAAACTTATATAGAAATTCCAGGATACTGGAGACTTCACCAATATTAAAAAATTGAAAATTAGGTCAAATCGGAGGCCTCGATCGTGTTAGTGGCCCCCAACACGATTGTAAGCCCCTTATCGCCCTTAATCAAATTTCAGTAGAAAAATTGGTGACCTGTAGAGCTTGGAAAAGTCCAAATTTCTAAATTTTCTATTCTAATGTTAAGAAAATAAAATGCAATCGAGTGGTAAGCAGTATTTTGAAGGTTGCGGCAAGGAGGGACAAATACGATGCATATTTCTTAGTGAATTCCATGCAACAGCCGGATCGAAAATAAGCTGCCAGGTATGAAAACTTCCCAGCTACTTTAGAATTCTTACTAAAACATGTCCTTACTTGAAATAGGTCCCTCCCGACTACGTTCAGAAGGATGTCTTTGATGCCATAAGCGTTTACATCATACCAAAGCCTCATTTGCAGAAATGTATTCTCACGGTGAATGCTATGGATATCAAAATAGTTGGCTATCCCGTTGGCATAGAGGATCAACAGAAATATGCACGAAATGCATTTCTATTCAATTTATGTTTTGTTTGTGACTCGTGGGCAAGATCTGTACAATATGAGCCAGTTGTCAAGAAATTATCTGAATATTTGGTAGGTAGTTGAGAACTTGTGGTTTCAGTTAATTAGAAATTAAATAAATTCCTAACATTTTAGATAATGATGGAAGAAGAGAGTTGTTTTCTATCCAAGGAGGGCGACAATAAATTGAAATTAATGAAGATTTTCGAGACTGTTATCAACGATTTGAACAAGAAGAAAGTGACAACTATTGTGGGTGAGTTGTAGTAATGTGTACATTCATTCTGTCTTTGCGATTTTTAAATTTATCCTTTTCCAGAGGGCGATACGACAATTTATTTAAAAATTGTAACACACAAACCAGACCCACCTGTTGTTAAAGATCACATGGTGCCTTTGTTGCTGGTGGATTATCAAAATACGCCTCTGGAAAATTGGGATTTAACAACACAACAGGTAGGATTTGGAAAAAGAAACCAATTTACAATAAAAATTTATAAAAATCATCATTTTGCAGATACTACCCTATATAAATGGCATTAATCACATTGCTCGTATTGCTGCTGAGGCAGATGTGGAGACGAATCTAGTAAAATCTTGTGTCCAAAATTTAGTGTATTATGGAGTAGTACAACTCTTGCCAATTTTGAAATATTCTAATGTTTATATGACACAAAATCTCAAAAGTCTCATACAAAATCCATCACTGACCAATGCTTGTCGGAAGTATGTTGCCCTTAAACCGGACAAAGTTAAACCCACAATACAGAAAATCTTCCAGTTTTATGCTTCAATGACTCATGGTGTAACATTGCGAGTCATATGTCAACGTCTATGTCCACAAAATCATAATATCGATGAAAGAAAATTGGTTATATTTGGTTTACAGCATAAATTTATACGTTGTATTCACAAGTATCCAGTATTTACGGGTTCAGTGCCTTCGGGCCGACAAAAAATGTATACTGGACTATCAAATTTCGATGAAATTTGTTGCAAGACCGGTTTGTCGCCATCTAGCATAGAGAAAGACATCGATAAGGATACAAATGTTACTGTTATTTGGAAATAAAGTTATATTTTTTAAGGTAAAAAAATATTTTCGTTAACATCATTTTAAGTTTTGACAAAAATTATTATGAACATAGTATAATTATTTTTGTTGTAAGAAGAACAATTAAAACAGTCCACTGAAAATCTGTATAAAACAGAAATTAAAACCTACATTAAAATTTGTTTAGACTTTTATTAAGAACTTTTTAAACATTGCAGATTTAAGATCAAAATTGGAATCGATCCACTTTTAATGTTACAATGCTGCAGTTGAGTCAACATGAGTCGTCGACTCTGTTGGGAACTACAAGTTCAGAAAATTTCTATCGACTCTCCGAACGTCAGACCGATAGGGAATAGCTTAGAGTTCATCGCTATATATTTACCAAATTTAGATCGAATTTGGTCGTATACTTCTGGTACCTCCCCCGTAGAAGCTCGGAATATTAAATGACCATATCTCATATTCACTCCCTCTGGATCAGATGTGAAGGTCCAGTCGTTCAGTTACTTTACCAATAAGGGGTTAAATGTCCGTCCGTATGTGGAAATCACTCTAGCTTCCGATCGAAATGAATTAGGTTGATAAAATTTTACTCAGATGCGTTTTAGGTCTGCAGGACTTTTGGTATTAAAAATGGGCTATATAGGTTCTCATATAGCTGTTCCTTCACATATTTGGTATTTTGATGATTTTTGTCACCGTTTTCACTGGAATTGTTTAAAAATTTAGAATTTAAAGTTTGTATTGGGTAAAACCTCCTATGACAGAACATTTCCTGAACATATCCACACCTTCCTATAGCCCTCATACGACGGTACCTGCCAACATTCTGTATTTTGATGATATTAACCATACTTTTTTACAGGATGTTCTAAAACTTGGTTTTTGCAGTTCGTAATAAGAACCCCTTCTATGGCAAATAATTGGCTGTAAAGGCGTGAACCTTGAAAGGTGTGGATATTCGGTATTTTTAGAATTATGTCGGAATTTTTAAACGATTTGCAAGTTACTTACAAATGGTTGAGGAAGAGTTTTGCCCCATTCCCACGACACCATGCAATGTTTTAACGAAATCAGTATCGGAAGTTTCTTTTCTAGTTTCAGCATCAAAAATATTCGGAATGAAATGTTTTTTTACATAAAAATGATCCTTCCAAAATGGTAGGCTTTTGCTCTGTCCTTAACCTTAATGTCATGCAATTTTCCTATTGTAATCCCTCGGTTGGTCTATTGTTGTAGCCTATAGAGTGGCTGCAAAATCAGGAAAAGTAAGTTTATCGTTCATTTCAATCTTTAAATATTTTCCAATCATTTTCAAATCTATTGTGACCCTAGCCTTGACCTCAAATGGAATTTCTTAAGTGAAGTGGGAAATTTCTGTCCATAATTCTGGCCATAAGAGTAATTACAATTTAATTTAAGTAATCAATTTAAATTTTTATTAAAGTATAGCTCCCATTTACTAGTTTTATCCGATTTCAAGTTTAAACTACCCTATATCCGTAATACATATTTAATAACGATCCCATTTGACACGATTTTCTTCACACAAAAATGTCAAATATAAAAATATATTTCATACGGGTTGCTTTGCAAAATATGCATTGTGGTGTAGGGTATCATATAGTCGGCCTACTCGATTTTTGTCCCTTTTATACTGAATTTCACATATTCTACCACCCATGTTCATCGACCCTTCCTAGTGTACACACATTCATATAAATTCAAGTTTAATTACTTAAAACATTAAATTGATCGAATGTTTCTGATCGTTCGTATACCCCAATTGTTTAATTCAATCAATGGATATAAACATTGAACAACAACAAATTGAATTTCAATTTGTGACATTTACCATGTTCGTCAAAAGTAAATTGGAAAACTAATAACAGAGAGTAATACCGTTCCCCATAACATTGGTCAGTATGATCACCACTCAATTGCTATTATATTTTCAATGGCATTTGCTCAACGGCTCGCTCTAATGTCCAATGTTTTGAGACATCTCTGAGCAAATAAAGTAGCTCTCCAACAAATTTATGATGTTTCCAAGTGCTAAAGTGATTTTATGGTACTCAGTCGTTAGTCTTCTTGTAACGTTCGGTCTGGAAACATGTGTTCGGTTAGTTAAACGGAAACCAACAACGATCGTTCGTCTGTGCCTGCAAAGGAAAAAACATATGAAGAATAGTTAGTGGCCGGTTTTTTTTTGTTTTGTACATTTTTTGTTGAACAAAAGAGAGAGAAAACAAAAGTAATCACATTGAAAACCAAACCACAACAACACGAAATATTTATGTATGTATTTGCAGAGAGTATCTGTGTGAATGTTGTCTGTGGATGCGGGTGTGTTATGAAAACAAAATGTAAATTTTGAAAAAAAAATTGTATAAGAGTGGCTGGGCTAGATCTTGCAATGAAGACATGATCAAAAAGAGTTCTTACAATTTGTAGCATTACTTCGTCAATAACAACAACAGTTACTTGCTTGCTTGCTTGCTTTACTCACAATAACAATAGACACGAAGCAGTAAACAAAAGAATCAACAACACCAATTAACACATACGCATCCTTAAGTATTGGTGTTAGTGATAAAACGAACAACAGAGACGTCGAGAAATGACATGCCTCACTTTGTACGTGCCAGAGGAGTATCTGCTGCTGCTGGCTGAGTGCCACTTTGATATTGTGAATCATCTGTTGAAAACAGAATACAAAATGACGAAAAATAACACGAAAGGAAAATACAAAAATATTAAAAGCAATACGTCTGTCTAGTGTGTGAATGAAATGTTGAAAAGGAAATTTGATAATACCAAGTCGAATAATTGATACCCTTCCAAATGGAGATGATTCAATGCATTGATATTCAATAAATATCAAAGGATTTACTACTCAAAACTATGTGCGCGTAATCGATGTTGTAGATCAATAAAATATTCGCCATATTTAAAAATGTTTAACAATTATCACGTCGGACATATTTGTTGATGTTAATATCATACGCTTGATTGACAGCATTGTTGACAATTAAGCGGCTCTCGTAGCATAGAGAAATATATAAAGTAAATGTTTGTTGGGGAATGTAAAGAATAACTTGTTAAGTTAGGATGTCCAAAAAAGAGTCGATCTTATTTTAAAGCGCATAATAAGGGCCCAGACGGAAACGCGTCACAGTTGAAGTAGGCATAGCTGGATCCTTATCTTTAGTGGTTCCAATTGAAACTATAAAAAATTGTTACTCACCATGTAAAGCAACCAAATGCAATACCCAATTAAAGTGGCGGCGCCCTACGTCAACGCTATCACTCTTACCTGAAATTCGTTTGGAAACTATTGCATTATGCCTATAATTGCACCGTCAGCGTCAAGCTTAATTGATCCATGAAGCTTGTTTTAAGAAAAACGAATTGCCAGCAACTGTTTGAAAATTGGGTGTATATGTTCGAATTATTAACAATAGTACATGAATTATATCTTGGAAATTTAAGACGCGTGTCCATTGGATTGAAAAAGCTAAAGATTATTATGTAGAAGAATTATTTTTATACAATCAGCTATATGGCTACGTAGGATATACAGGGCGATATAAAAGAAAATCCAACGAAATCAAACGCCATAATTTTTTTATATTTTTGAAATTTTATTGAATGAAGGCAAAAGCATGTCGGAAATAGCATTCAATTTGAGAATAAGTTTAGATTTGTTCGAATTGGTCACCTTTGGCATGAATTATGGCTTTCAAACGGCCAAAAAACCGCCATACGCTGCTCGAATGTTGCTTTGCTGTATTTAGGCCAATTCCCGGCGAAGTGTTTGCCTGAGGTGATTGAAACTGTGGTATTTTTAGTGCCAACCTTGATTTCCAAAATAATCCGTACACAATAGTTCAACGGATTGGTATTCGGAGATTTTGGTGGCCATCGTGCGCCGGAAATGAAGTGAGGAACCTCATTTTGTAACCATTCTTGGGTGGAGCGTGCTGAGTGCGATGGAGCTGAGTCCTGTTGGAATGTCCAAGGTCTGCTGCCAAAATGTTTGCGTGCTTAATGCTTTAATACACCCTCCAGAATATTTTCGTGAAATAATTCGGCATTTATTCTGATGCCACGGTCGATTAATACGAGCGGAGAGCGATCATTAGCTGTTATGGCGGCACACACCATTACCATGGCCGGCGCTTGAGTTCAGGTGGCCAACCAAAGATGCACATTATCATTATGTTTACAAACTGCTGGACAACGAATGTTTTCTCATCGGAGAAAACCAAATTTAGCTATTTTCTTTCAGTTGCGGTGTAAGTTCTTGTACTTTTTGGAATTTCAATGGCTTTAACCCGAGCTCATTTTTCAATATTTGCCGAATGGAATATTGCGATATGTTCACCTCACGAGCCATTTTTGGCCACTGCAACGCGGGTTTCTATCAAAGCGCTTCTTTAGTTTTCGAACCATTTCTGCTGATGTTGCTGTTTTCTTCCGTCAACTTCCTCGACGTCGGGCTACGCTACCAGTATCAGGGTAACGAGCTATGGTACGAGACACAAAATATTTATTCACATTTAAATACTGGAGTGCTCTAACGATAGCCACTTGTGGTTTTTCAGCCAAATATAAAGAAATCACACCATCACGCTCGAATTCTATCACGAATAACTTTTTTTCTGGAAATGCTTCTGCACGCTTATAAACAATATAATGAGCTGTCACAGAAATAATTTTAACAGCTGTCGGACGAGTGGCTTAGAAATGACAGCAGTCTAAAGTTGGTTGCATATTTTTCATCTAACCCTATATATTTGAAAAAAAAAACGACATAGACTATATCGATCATCATTTCTCAACTGGCTATTTTTTAATCTATTTTTTTTAGAAAGTGTGACTAAAATGGTCAAAATACCGAATATGGGGTGATGCAATTAGTATAATATTCCCCTACTAGGATAGTACCTTTTCAGGCACAAACAATTTTTTGGATCAGATTTTGGACTTAATGGATTTTTTTCAAAAATTGCTCTCAGTGGTTTGAACAATCTTTTCAAAGCAATTTCCCTACAAAATCAACTCGACATCAAGATCTTTAATGATAACGATTGTGGTCTAAATCTATTGATGAATCCATGCGAACATCGTTCATTTGTGAGGGGTATAAAGAAATATTAAAATATAAAAACAAACAAAAAACTAATTGATAAAAAATGCTTTCTTTTTTTTTAAATAGGGAAACTTTTCGGCAAATAAATTGATTCTTCTTTCACGAAATAAGTGAAGTAAAGTGAAGAAAAGAATTGACAGCATACTAAATGATGTTGTCTGTCAGAGAAAATATGTATATATGTATGAATATCTCCCACAAATCACAACTATTAGCACGCTTTTGAAAAAAAAAATGTATTTTATTTTCGAAAGTTAAGATTCGTGCAAAGCTGTGAAAAAAATAAAAAAAAAAACAAACGAGTGGAAAGTGCGTTTAAACATTCAAGAAGTAGACAACAATTTTGGGTGAATGAACAATAAAAAAAAACTACAAGTCGCAGCCATAAAAACAACACTTGTTCCGTTGAAACCTACAAAAGGAAAACGAGGTAATTAAACAATATAAGTATACATTTCTTTTGGCTTTTATTAGAAGTAAGATTTTTTTGGATACAGTTTTTTTTGGAATTATTCTCTTAAACCATGAAAAGATGTCTCCTGACCTTTGTTTGTTTCACTTTTAAAGAAATTTGTTTATGCTTTTTGGGTTAGTTGTGCATTGTGGATATTTTTCTTTTTTAATACCAAAAATTTTCCGTTGTTGTAAACTTTTTTGGAAGACAATGACACGGAAGATGGTTTTGATTTTGAAAAGTAGTCATGGTTTGTGTGCATTTATATTTCAGCGTTTCAAAATCGCTATCAACTCAATAAGTCTTAGCACTTCAGCGTAGCGATTAGACTGTAGAAACTTATAATTTTACTTTGCATGAATTTCTACATAATGCAAATTGTGATCATTTCACAAAATTAACGGGACGCTTTTCATTGAAGAATAAGGAGATTTAAAGAATTAAACAAGTTAAACTAGTAAAAAAGCAGCTAAGTTTGGCCGGGCCGAGCTTGGAATATTACAAAAAATTCTGAAAAATACTGGTAAAATGAAAACCGTTATGTGGGGGCTATGCGAAGACATGGACCACCATAAATAATTTATAGGGTGTATTACCTACTTTTAACTTCAAGTACGAAATTTGAAACTAATATCATAAAAATACGAAATAAAGGAAGATACCGTTATTTCGAGGCTATACGGACACGTGCACCAATTCCGATAAATAATGTCGCTAAAATAATCAAAATACCAAATAAATACCCATGTAGCTAAAGTCGTTATATGGGATTATACGAAAAAGTGGACTGTATTTTCTGTCAAGGAAGGTGGTACTCATTACGAATTTTAAACACCAAATTTTATACAATTTCCGAGATTACTTTGACACACGTTGCCAATATTCCGAATATTTGGAGGTACAGTTACTTGTGGAAAAATACCAATATTTGGATGGATATTTTCTCCCAATTTAAAGTAAATTCAGTTGAAAACAAGTTCTAAAGTATCAATCAGTCGGTATTGCCGTCTGATGCATATTTTGCCTGCCTTACAAAACAATTTCAACGTTTCTATATGTAAACCCTAGACAGCAACAGTGACCTCATTATCAAGTTTAAGATTCAAGTTCAAGTTTAAGCTCTATCATTTAATACCAAATTTAGAAGCATTTAAGTCTTTTCGTACAGTTAAAGTACGCATTTTCACAGACACGAACAGTAATCTCAACATAAAATTTCAGAACTTCAGCTCCATTCCTTCACCTAATATAAAATTTAGTGTTATTTAGTACTTTTTGTACAACTGTAGTATACATTTTCAAAACAATTTTCAAATATATCAACCTCATATAGTACTAAAAGTGACCTTAATGTCAAATTCGTGGATTTCAGCTCTATCCCTTCACCCAATACCAAGATAAGTACCATTTGGCACTTTTCGTACAAATATGGGACACATCTCCGAACCACCGCAAAATCTCAGACAGAGATAGCCAACAATAATCTAAATAAAAAAATTCTAAAATTTTATATTTATCCCTTCAACCAATACCAAATTCAGTACCATTTTGTACTTTTCGTATAATTTTAGTACGCATTTCCGAAACCACCTCCATATGTCCAGGCTACATATGAACATCGACCCTAATACCAAATTTCATATTCTAAGCACTATCTATTTACCGAATACCAAATTGTACCAAGTGTAGTACTACAATAGGACGCATTTCCAAACCACCGTCAAATGTCAAATTTCAAAATTGTATCTATATCTCCTCAACCAATACTTTTCCGAAATCACCTCCATATCAGATTTCGATCTTTATCTGATATCAGGTTTCGATCAGTATCTGACGACCCAGTATCAAATTCTATTAAATATAGTACTATTTAGTACTCTTCATGCACTTTTAGTACACATTTCCAAAATCACCTCTTTATCACAAACCTACCACCAACAGGAACCCAATACAAAATTTCAAAATTCCAACATCATCTGTTTTCACCGTAATTAATAATTCTTCAAGCTTTAATACCAAATGTTAAGATTTTAGCTCTATCCGTTCGAATAACACTAAATGGTATCATTTTAGCCGTTTAGTACCATTTTAAATCTTTTCGTAAGCTAAAAGTTCGAATTTTCACAAAAACTTTGGTACATCTATCCCTGCACCATTGTCCATTTTCGCACCAAACCTCATACTGATACAAATATTTGGACTATCCTATTTCATTCTGTAAGGCCAATTAATTCCTGTGAATATTTTGATCTTTTGTGAGTAGAGGAGATACCAGAAGGAGTGGATCGATATTGCTCGTAACGAACTCGGTCTAAGTTTGACAAAAATATTACGACATAACAAGTTTGGACCAAATCGGATAAATCCTTTGAAAGGTATGGTGCCAGCCTGCCAGACAAACAGACGGACGGACTGACGCCGATAGAGGTGGACAGTAAGAGAGACGGCAGACATAGATTATTATGCTAAACTGCTTATTTCGAGGAGTTACAAACACAATAACAATGTTAATATACCCTCCATACCATGGTGGAAGCGAGGCTTGTTATTCGAAACGATTTTTTGAAGTAGTCCAATTATGTATCCCATTATCTTGAGGGACTTATTCTAATCAAAAGGATTTCAGATCTACATAAACTTTACCGCAAATTATATTGGTGTAGGATACAGCATGGGCTCCGTCCGACCCTGGCTTCAGCTTACTTGTTTAAATCTATTTTTTTTACACTCTTGATATATTTTAGAAGCCCAACAAAATGTGTGGAATTACCGCCCTTTTGTTTCGATTATCACTCAAAAATTTGGGCTTGTTTTTGGAGGTCGATTTGTTTCCCACAAAAATACAAATTTTATAATAGAATTGTTAATGTAAACCATTTTGTAACGTTTAAATATAGGAGCATTTAATTTTATTAAATTAATTACAATTATATGGGTTCGCCAATTAGACTTACCCAACTAAATATTCATTAATTAATCATTCAATCTTTTGTTTTCATCAATAGAATTGGCATGACACTACCACAAAAACCAGAAAGTTGTAATGCATGTCGAGAGAAAAATAATAAAACAATAAAATTGATGTAAATAATCTAAACCCGTAATGGGTGTCTAACATACCACACCCGCATACATTTCTATAGAATTCGAAGGCGAGAGGCAGTGTATGAATTAAATGCTTAATAATGAAATCCCAGACGTGAACAGTGGAACATGTACACACCACACAAAATATTTGTTTTGTCATCGTTTCGAATGATGGATCATTTGGATAATCTATAATTGATCAGTGATCAGTTTTTTGGGTGGTCTCTTCTATTTCCATGGAAAACACAAAGGAAATTTTCGAAATCTTTAATCATTTTTACCGCTTTCTGAATGAGTCACATTTTCATAGTATAGTTTTTGAAGAACCCATTTCTTTCCCAAACATTTCTAAATTTTCAATTATAAAAACCATGTCATTCCCATCTACCTTTTAAACTATTAACTTTATCAATCCAAACGATTTGTTTATTTGCCACACAAAGAACGATTTTTTTTTGTAATTGTTTACTGTAAAATTGAAACCTTCACTATTTTTCCCAACCAACAACGAATGCACTTACAACGCTGCAACGCCATGAAATGTTCCATATTTGTGGTGACACACATTCGGTGGCGTCGTAACCGTTGTTTTTTAATAAACTTTTTTATTTTTGTTTTGCTTTTTGTAAAAGATACCACGATTAGTTTTATCAATATGCGCTCTTTGCCGCTGTCTCATTTCCTTTTATCAAACGGCGATAGATAAGTGACGAGCCAAGCACTACACCACAACAAACGGTATTCGAAATAACACCTGTTGATTTATTTGTAATTATCCCCATATGGGGAATAGTGTTTACTAGACGATAGCTACGTGTGCGCTAGTCAATGAAAAGTCAATCAGAGAAAGAAATCAAATCGAATTGAAGATATCAAAAAATAATGCGTTAATTTGAATATGATGAGGTTTCTACATCATTACAATAAAATATTACGATAACGTGTTGAGAAAATTTAGAAACAAAATTAAAAATTTAATTCTTTAATGAAATCAATTTTTCTTTAGAATGAGAAAAATTACAATTTATGTAGGTCAACTACGGACAGAGGCAGACAGACTGACAGAAGACTCTTTAGAGATCATCAATATATAGAGGATGATATATCTTTTTCCTATAGAACCAATACAAAACTTAATGAACAGATGTGGAGGCACCATGAATGGCACTGAATTAACAAGGAAAAAATAAATAACCAGTGAAGAAAGAACAAAAGTCTGACTTTATAAAAAAACTACAACAAAGTCAAACACCATAATTTTCACATTTTTTTCTTAAGTTTTATTGAATGAAAGCAAAAATGTCGGAAATAGCATCAACATTTAGAATAAGTTTAGATTTGTTCGGATCGGTCACCTTTGGTATGAATTATGGCATTAAAACGGCCATTCACACGCTGCCCGGATGTTGCTCTGCGGTATTTTGGCCCATTCCCGGCGAAGGGCTTGTTTGAGGTGATCGACACTTTGGTATTTTTTAGTGTCAACCTTTCTTTGCAAAATACTCCAGACACAGTAGTCCAACGGATTGGTATCCGGAGATTTTGGTGACCATTGTGCGCTGGAAATTTGTAACCATTCTTGGGTGGCGCCTGCTGAGTGCAATGGTGCTGAGTCTTTGTTGGAATGTCCAAGGTCTCCGGCCAAAATGTTTGCGTGGCCAACGCTTTAATACACCCTCCAGAATATTTTCGCGATAATATTCTGCATTTATTCTGATAATACGAGCGGAGAGCGACGATCGGCTGTTATGGCGGCCTACATCATCACCATGGCCGGCGCTTGAGTTCTGACCTCTTTGGCAAGTAAACACAATAATTTTTATACCCTACAACACTATGTGTTGGGGCCAAAAATTATGTAACACCACAAAATATTGATTTCCCATATA